CTGCAGCATCAGAATTTCCACCACCTTCTGCTGGAGGAGGATTTCACAGTTAAGTACTGCTTGTTGACCCTTCAGGTAAAGAAGAATCACCTGCTTGATTTTTGGGTTTTGTTTTTTTTTTACACACCTGCGTTGGCATCCTGAGAGTCCACGCACTCCTCCACTGATGGAAACATGTTAACAGGTGATGAAGGCGTTTAACTTAGCGGTCAGTTCAGGTGTTCGTCGTGTAATTAACTGGAGCTTACCAGAGTGATCCTGAGCGGCCTCTGAGAATGAAAGACAGCATTACCACCTGGAACTGGATCACTCATTAAAAGGTTTAAGTTAAATATTTTTAGTCTGCCCTCACCGAGGTAGCGGGAATCTCCACTCTGATCTTCAGTAGCTTGATGGAAAAAGGTGAAAAATGAGTAATCACAGTGGGAATAAATCTTTCCTCATTTATTCATCAAGGCCAACTTTTTGTATTAAACTTACCATTCATGTGAGCTTCCTGGTTTTTCTGAGCAGCCTCAAACTCCATCTGATCTTAAGACATGAAGTGATCAAAATTACAAAAGTAAGAGCCGAGAAACATCACACAGAAACGTATTAACAGTTAACTAAGACAAGGGCAAGCCAGTCTGGGTTATTTTGTGGAATATACTACATGATCTTAATTACTTTTAAGCCACTTTTAATGACCAAGTGTCAACTGTGAACACAGAGGTGCTCTATGGATACTGTACCTATTTTCTGCAGCTCAGCTAGCCCATCTGCATGAAAAGACACGAAAGGTTTGCAGCAATGCATCTGCTACCAACATCATCTTTACTGGTTATCATTATCATTATTCTTATTCTTATTATGAATCCCTCACCATACTTTGCAGCTTTTTCTTCTTTCTCTGCAGACTCCAGAGATGCTGAGAGCACTAGAAGCCATCACAACATTTCATATATCTGCTCTCTTAATAAACATCAGCAACTTAAGGTTTCTGAAGAGCCACACTCACACATACAAGTATGAAATTTAAGAAAAACATGATAACACAAAACTGCATCTTAACGCTTTATTCCTCTTACCTGTGTGAAATGCTGCCACAGCAAGGAAAACAAACAGCGGCACTGGAAATCTCATCTTGTTTTTTGGCTCTGGTTGCGAAAGATTTTTAGGGGGGCTTGTCACTCCAAATATCGTATATGGGGTTGTTGCCACTTTGCAGTCTTTTATATCTTCAGTGCCATCACATGTTGCGCTTGGACAGGCGGCTCTGGTACCATTGTCCCTCCCTACCTGAGGGGACAGCTGGGTGGCACATCTTAGCACAGACGTATCCTTATTCCGTCCGTCAATGCCACCCATTGTTGGCCCTTCAGTCACACGGACCTTTATTTGGGATGTTCGAGGGGGAAAAATATAGGGACTCCGTGTATCCGAGCTGACAACAATGTTCGTTTCCCTTTTCACGAATGGAAATGATTTCATCGAGAATACTTGGCTTACAAATGATGGGTCACAATGTAGCCCGGCAAGACAATCCCTCAATTAATCTCACACAGATCAAAGCGATCCCAATCTCATGATTACAATGCAAACTGATGCAGCTTTTAAACATTTAATCCTTAATCTGTCATAAAAAATGACCTGCTCTTCACAACCTCGAGATCAGAGGAAAAGCTGAATTTTAAATGATGAATTTTAAAGATTTCTAAGAGCAAAAATAAGTTGGAAGATATACACAATCATAATTACTTATTTAAACCCTGCATTTAACTGAAAATAGCAAATAAGACAAAGCCAATTTTAAAATATACTATTAATATTAGCTAAGATGTGCAAATGGGATTGGGTGTGAAAAAACTAATCTGAATCTTTGTAAGTAAAGATGGGAAGGGGTTGCTTCTTTAAGTGGATCAAAAAGCAACAATAATTATATTTATAAATAATAACGGGAGAAAAGATTAAGCAAATACAGAGAATGATGCTTATCATATCAGAGGAAATCAAGGGAGACACAGTTTATGCTGACAGGTGGGATGGCGCTCTCTTTGTTTACCCGTTGTAGCTCACTCTGCATGTGCTGCTGTGCTCACTCACTGCAGTTAATGAAACGGGGACAGGCAGGAGAGATCGCGTTACACGAGCGTCACGTTGGAAATGCACCACACCTCTAATAGTTTTTATATGACTCACTTGTTTACGGGCGGTTAGGACATATGATTGTAGTGGCGGATGAAAGCAAAGTGCAGCCTAATCTATTCCCTGAAAAAGGGGAAGAATTTACTGCTCCTTTTACACCAGCAACCCAACAATGTTCCTTTATTTACTCTGAGTTTCTAATAACAGGTAAAGATGACCTTTATTAGTGCATCAACAGTCTTTGACCTAAATAAGCTAGTCATTTTTAAAATGAAATAAACACTTGCTGGTGCCAGATGAGCTTGTCTGAGTATTTTAGAAACAGCTGATCTGCTGGGAATTTCCCGCGTAACCATCTCTAGGGTTTACGGAGAATGGTCCGAAAAAGAGAAAATACCCAGTGAGGGTCAGAGCTCTGAGTGAAAATGCCTTGTTTATGGCAGAGATCAGAGGAGAAAGACTGCTTCAAGATGATAGGAAGGAAACACCAATTCAAATAACGACTTGTTAAAACCAAGGTGTGCAGAAGAGCATTTTTGAATGCAGCTCACATTATACCTTAGCAATAGTAAAGTTCTGCCTGGTCTGATGAGTCTCGATTTCTACTCTGACATTCAGATAGCAGGGTCAGAATTTAACAAGAAAGCATGGATCCATCTCGTATTAAGAGGTCAGGCTGCTGCTGGTAACATGGAAGATATTTTGTTCACACTTTTAAGGTCACTTAGGAAAATCTGAGGAATGTTTCTGAATCTGAATTAAAGCAGTTCTGAATATAAAAGGGAGTCCAACTCAGTACAAGCAAGATCTAGCTAATAAAGTGGCATGACATGTTGACTTTGTACTTTTTTCAACTTAAATTTAAATGATAGCCAACTCATTGCCACATGTTTTTATCATCAATATTCGGAGCACCCCAACTTTCTATTTACAAACAGATTTATTGAGAAATACTACGAACATAATTTAATTAGACTTTTATTTTGAAGCTGAAAGCAAACACACACACAAAAACAGTACCAGTCGCACTGATCTAGAGAAGTACAGTTTCAGTTTGAGAGTTTTCAGCACTGTTGAAATAAAGGTAGAAAATTCTTTTAATCAGTTAAAGTGCGTAATACTAATAATATTTCAACTACTTTAAAAAAAATATAGAGAAAATGCCTCTAAAGGTTCTTAGGAAACAATTAGCAAACTACATTTTCTTTGTCCCAAAGTAGTTAAAGAACATGAAAGCGCCGTAGGCAGATACAGTATTTCTAAACAACATGACAAATCACAGGTACAAAATCATTAAAAACACACAGGAAGAACCAAATCATCTCTTAAACTGCAACTAAAATTTAATAAACACATACGCCAATTACCCTGCTTAAGGCACAATCATAGTTTAGATTAATTCTTACACACGTTATCTAGTGTGTAATGGGTTTAAGACTTTTCGATTGTAGTCACTGTGGGACTAACAATGAGTCACAACTGACATCAATGCGATTTACTACAAAGAAAGTGTCTTGGTGGCACATTTGTTGCTGACAGCTGCCAGTACCCAATAAAAAACATACAGTAGTCTGCTGAGGAGGTAGAAACACTGGAAATCCATCCGGGGACATACAAACAGATCAGCAAAGGGACATCAGCATGTTAGTAAACACCACGTGCAAGAATTTGGCTAAAGGGAAATGACAAGCTGACTTCTTTCTCTGTACAGTACACAGAACAGGAGCAACACACTAAAGAAAATGACAGAGAAACACTTGTGTGTCTGGCCTGCAGTGCAGCATGGTTCACAGTGATTGCACAATTCAGCACAGTGCAGTTTTGTTTTAACATTTAATGTGATTTGTGTTGTGTTGCTGGTGATGCCTGTGGCTTGTGATGCAGTTGATCTTTCTCCCTTTCTCTGCCCACCCCCCCCATCAGTGATGAGAACAGTGTACTGCCCAAGTTAACTTCTGTGATCTGGGAAAGCATCGCATTAAAAAACAAGAACAAGAAAGAAAAAAGAAAGAAAGTAGTCAAAGCAGCCAGAAAGCATCTGAAGAAGTATTTTTAAAAGGAAAATTAAACAATTTAGAGATTTTTTTATTTCATATTTTGTTTACGGAAGTTATTTTCTATAATTTTGTCCTGCTTTTCTTTTCTTTGAGTATTTTCCTTTTAGTAATTTTAGCATGTGTGGAGTTTGTATTTTCAGTTTCAGCGCCCCCTGTGGGTTAGAGATCACACTGCAGGTAGTAGTAGTATAGTAGCTTACACCTACTTCTGTGTAATAGTGTGTTTGTATGTTAGGTTAACCTCCTAGGACCTGGCGTCCACATATGTGGACATCACATTTTGGGTTATTTAGACCAAAATACTCAATTTTGCTCTACAAGGGTCTGATATCCACTCACGAGGACATTATACTGCTACTGTTCTATCAAAAATTTTAAACAAATATCCTCATATGTGGCTCTGACTTTTCTTAGAAACAATAATTAGGTTAAAAAAAAAACCTGGTAATTCTTTGTTTTTACATTCATCAGGTCCCAATCAGCCCAAATATCAAAGAGAAATTAAAAATGCATGCCGTGGAAGAGTTCAGGTCTTAGGAGGTTAAGTGGCAATTCTAAATTGGTCATAGGTTTGTATATAAGCTGGCTCCCTGCATCCCTGAACTGGATATAAGTGATTAAGACCATGAATTTATTCACATTACCTAACGACAGAGTGCTTCACTTGTTTTCTGTGGCTATGCTAGCACCATATAGGGACAGGGATAGTTAAGTAGGTAAGATCGGAGGTCGGGGGTTCGAATCCATTGAACGGCTACCCTGAGGTACCCCTGAGCAAGGTACCGTCCCTACACACTGCTCCCCACACACACTGCTTCACTGAGTGAATGGGTTAAATGCAGGGAGGAATTTCAATAAAGTATACATAACATAATTGTAACAGTTTCCTGGATTTTGCATTTCAAGGACCACGGGTCAAACTCGAACCTGGACCGCTGCTCTTCAGCCATGTTGCATGTAGTTACCAGTCTGTGGTTGCCAAGCAGTTCAGTGGAGCACACTGAACTAAAGAGGCAAACCCCTAGATTTTGCTTTTTTTGTCCTCTACCTGCCCCACAGAGCTACTGTTCTTCCTTTTTTGTAAACTAATTTGAAAACCAAATGAGAACTCTATGACCGCCTGTAAATAGAACATCTTTGTTATACCATACCAACCAACAATTATCTGAAGTAGTTACATCATCCATGTGCAATAAGTGATTAAAATAATGATAGAATTGTGATGTAGGTAAACTGCTGGCTTCTTTAACTCCATGTTTATTGTCAGATTTTGTTAGACAATGTTACCTGCAACTAAAGATTATATTCAATATTTTAGAAAATTATTTCAAAATTACTTAAGAAATTGGTCTGTGGGTTCATAACAAGCATGTTAGACTGTAACACCACATTTGCAGGATTATCCAAATCATAAGCAGGAAAATGTTACTTTCTAGAGTCTGGAAGCGCCAGTGTCCTTAGATGCATGTGGAAATTTAAACATATTAGTCCAGTACTGAAGTAACTTTTTTCTTCAATAGATCATAATGCTTTCAGTGGTTTGGTCTCCCAGTACGTGTCTGACTTCTTCAGTGTGTATAACCCAGTCAGAACTCTCAGGTCACCAGTGGTGGATCTTTTAACTGAATTAGATCCAAGAGTGCTGGGGGTGCTTCCAACCTCAGCACAGCATTCACAGCTGCCTGCTGACCTGAGATCAACTACAACTGTGTCTATACTCAAAAACTCAAAACCTTTTTACTCTCACAGACTTACACTTAATGACTGTGTGTCAACTTGTATTTTATTTCTTTGTAAAGTTTGTTTTGTTGGGGTTTTTGCCTTAAGGTACTGTAGACTTGCACTGCTTTTTATTTTTTTTTTAAACTTAAAACGCATTGAATTATGTAATAAAATGTCCTTTATAAATGAAATTGCCATTGCCAATATTAATCGATTGCTACTGGTATCTCGCTATAAATGAAGGATTCTCTGTATGTATGTGTGCTTCATCTATCTTGTCCACTGTTTATCCATTGGTAAACAGTGGACTGGGGTTTGGAGCAACTGCAGTGCCAAACTTTACTGTGTCTGAATCTTTTTTGGGGATCCCATGCATAAAATATAGCCAAAATATAAACATTAATTTAAAAAAAGACTGGCATAATCAAATGCCCCATTTGTCCACACACACAGGTATAAAAGTTTTCAATAATGTAAGACAAATATTTCCCAAACTAGAAAAGCTGAAACCACTGATCAACTAAAGTTGTGGCTCTAGTGTCACCATGCTCCCACAGATCAGCATTTCCTCTGGCGACTACGATGTTATCCAACATATAAAAATGGGCTCGATTGATCTTATTTTATTGCTTCTGATTCTACTCTCAAGTAGTTCTCACTTTTCAGAGTTCTCCTCTCAGGCGCGTGTGCAGGTCTTCCTGGTCGATCTTGCTTTTTTGTTCGTGCCAGTGGTGGTGTGCCAGCAGGGCCACGTTCCTGGCAGCGATGGCGCTCATCTCCATGGCACTTGCTGCCCACTCCACAGCATTGAGGTAGTACAGCCGGTTGTGCAGGATAAAAGGAGGGGTCTTGCGGTGCGGCGGATGGTACGCGGGGTATGCCAGCCATTTGGTCTCAGACACCGAATCATAGGAGAGGAACATGTTCTCCAGCTGCTCCTGGGACAGCGGCTTTTTGGAGAACACCTTCCAGACATTAGCTTGGCTAGCAGGGGGGCGCTTGTAACCTTTGGGGATGTGCACAGGATCCAGAGAGCTCAGGCTGTTGATGATGGAACCGTTTGAGTCTGTGGTGAGGACATCAGACACGGTGAACTCTGAGGCAGCTTCTGTGGTCCCCAGGTAAGACACGTTGAGCAAGCCGTGGACAAGAGTGGCGACCGTCTGGTGGTAGTGCCCGGGGTAGTGAGAAGGGATTGGAGGGGAAAAGCCTGAAAATGTGATGTCAGATTTCCCCCGGTGAAGAGGCGTTGCTACTATCACAATATCATAAAGGGAATGTGCAGCTCCTGATTGGTCAACATAGCTAATCTCGTATAAACTGACAGGGGTGCCTGAAAGTGGGACATGAAGGGATATCAGGATGAAATATGAAGAATCAAGAAAGAGAAAAAGGCCGGATCTATATGACAGGAAGGAATGTTAATAGTACCTCTCTTGGATGGTCGAACTTTCACTGAAATGGAAGTGACTCTAGCAGGGATGAGCTCACTTTTGCTGTTGTAAAGAAGTCCAGAGCAAACTTTCTTATTGCCTCCATCCACTGCCCACAGGCCTGAATCTGCCCCTGCTAACGACACCGCTCCTAAAAACAAGACATGCCCACTCCATTTCATCAACCAACAACCAAAAAAAAAACGGTGAGATCTGTGCTAAATCACACGTTTTGTAACATACCCACAAAGCCATTGATGCGGACACTCTGCCCATAGTTGACACGAGTGATCGGTGCAACAATGTCATTGATGAAGACCTGAGAAAATCCTTCTCCCATCATGGCTTCCTCCAGGGTCTGATTCATCAGAGTGAGGAAACTATCACCTCCCATGGCATGCAACAGCCTCTCTACGGTGGAGAATGAGTAGCCAAACTGCTGGTACTGGTAGATTCTGTTCAGAAAAGGATTTAAAGATAATTAGGGCAACCTAACAGCAGTGAAATTTAGAAGCCACCAAGAAGAAAACAGCATCCTCACCTCATAAATTTATCCAGAACAGTCTCCACCCACATCTGCATTCGAAGAAAGTTCAACCCGTATCGCCAGAGCATGCGGAAGAAATTTACTATGAACCAGTCGCTCTCTTCGAACAGGATGTGCTTTCCATCAAAGATCGCCATTTTTGAGGGGACGTCTTTTCTCTGAGGAATACCTGTGAAAACATAAAACATTAAGCTACTATTTACGCACTTCTTATCTTTAATCCAGGCAGTTTAGGGGATGTTAAATTTACCTAATTTATCAACAAAGTGCTTCATATGTAGGTTCAGAGGATGGATCACTGAGCCTCCCGTTTCGTATTCATTATCTCCGATCTTCACCGTCGCAAGTCGCCCGCCAACACTGCCGTCTTCGAACACGTCGATCTTGACCCCAGGTCCAAACTCTTGCCTCAGGTAATATGCTGTCGCTGCGCCGCCAATTCCTGCTCCAACCACAGCTTTAAAAGAGAAGTGACAGGAACGTGAGCCAACATGAATTAACCTGCACATCTTTCAGATTGAGGGCTCGAGCACAATCAGAAAGTTTATTCTTCCTCCCGTTCTACCAGCGATGGAAGAGATGAGAAGTACAACAGCTAAAAAGAGTGGAGATAATCCACGTTCTGACTGTCTGTAGTGGAAAAAGTGTCATAACAAATGTAGGCTGAGTATACAATGTAAGTAATAATAACTTTAAGTATAACAGCATAACTAAGTCATACTTCAGGGTCACCTGATTCAGGCCTAACTACAAGCTTTACCAAAAAAAAAGAAGAAAAAAAAAAGAAGAAGTTTGAGGCCTCGTCTCAAATGTAGACAAGGAGAGAGTGACAGATAAGGGTGCAATGTATTTAACAAGAAAGTGCACGTAGACTAACACTAGTGCAGTGAATCATTATGCTGTCATCATTAAGAGTCACCTTTCAGTCTCACTCGGTTCTTCCCAAAACTGGAAGATAGAAAAAAAAAAAAAAGATCTTTGCAATATTTATTTTGTTCCATCAATGTATAGTAAAACATATAATGATTAGTCTTCTGTTGATTAGAATGCAATGTTAAAAAACAAGTCAACAAGTTTAAAATACAGGGAGTGCAGAATTATTAGGCAAATGAGTATTTTGTCCACATCATCCTCTTCATGCATGTTGTCTTACTCCAAGCTGTATAGGCTCGAAAGCCTACTACCAATTAAGCATATTAGGTGATGTGCATCTCTGTAATGAGAAGGGGTGTGGTCTAATGACATCAACACCCTATATCAGGTGTGCATAATTATTAGGCAACGCCCTTTCCTTTGGCAAAATGGGTCAAAAGAAGGATTTGACAGGCTCAGAAAAGTCAAAAATAGTGAGATATCTTGCAGAGGGATGCAGCAGTCTCAAAATTGCAAAGCTTCTGAAGCGTGATCATCGAACAATCAAGCGTTTCATTCAAAATAGTCAACAGGGTCGCAAGAAGCGTGTGGAAAAACCAAGGCGCAAAATAACTGCCCATGAACTGAGAAAAGTCGTGCAGCTGCCAAGATGCCACTTGCCACCAGTTTGGCCATATTTCAGAGCTGCAACATCACTGGAGTGCCCAAAAGCACAAGGTGTGCAATACTCAGAGACACGGCCAAGGTAAGAAAGGCTGAAAGACGACCACCACTGAACAAGACACACAAGCTGAAACGTCAAGACTGGGCCAAGAAATATCTCAAGACTGGTTTTTCTAAGGTTTTATGGACTGATGAAATGAGAGTGAGTCTTGATGGGCCAGATGGATGGGCCCGTGGCTGGATTGGTAAAGGGCAGAGAGCTCCAGTCCGACTCAGACGCCAGCAAGGTGGAGGTGGAGTACTGGTTTGGGCTGGTATCATCAAAGATGAGCTTGTGGGGCCTTTTCGGGTTGAGGATGGAGTCAAGCTCAACTCCCAGTCCTACTGCCAGTTTCTGGAAGACACCTTCTTCAAGCAGTGGTACAGGAAGAAGTCTGCATCCTTCAAGAAAAACATGATTTTCATGCAGGACAATGCTCCATCACACGCGTCCAAGTACTCCACAGCGTGGCTGGCAAGAAAGGGTATAAAAGAAGAAAAACTAATGACATGGCCTCCTTGTTCACCTGATCTGAACCCCATTGAGAACCTGTGGTCCATCATCAAATGTGAGATTTACAAGGAGGGAAAACAGTACACCTCTCTGAACAGTGTCTGGGAGGCTGTGGTTGCTGCTGCACGCAATGTTGATGGTGAACAGATCAAAACACTGACAGAATCCATGGATGGCAGGCTTTTGAGTGTCCTTGCAAAGAAAGGTGGCTATATTGGTCGCTGATTTGTTTTTGTTTTGTTTTTGAATGTCAGAAATGTATATTTGTGAATGTGGAGATGTTATATTGGTTTCACTGGTAAAAAATTAATAATTGAAATGGGTAAAACTAAAAACAAACTAAAAACTACTTCCAAAAACATTCAGCTTTGATATTAATGAGTTTTTTGGGTTCATTGAGAACATGGTTGTTGTTGTTCAATAATAAAATTATTCCTCAAAAATACAACTAAAAATACAACTTGCCTAATAATTCTGCACTCCCTGTATATGGAGGAGCCTTGTAGTTAAATCTAATCCTTGAATATTTGACTTACAAAAAAAATATAACCTCACTGTGGCATACAGTGTATTGTAGATCAATGCATTTTTTGATTAGTAATTACAGAGAAAAAGGCAGTTTTATTATAGCTTTTTATTAACACATTCACATCCTGCTATGAACTTCTGGGAACTCAAGTCGTTGTGATCCACCAATGACACGACTCTCCATTCAACAACTCTGAACAAAAGCACAAATACCCTTTATTTTCATGAAAAGGTCATTTTCAGCCTGAAAATATTAACAGATTTTCGCACATATCATCATCACTCATCAGGGAGTGAAACATGACCATGCCATGAAATTAAATTTACTTTAGATTTAGATTAGATTTACTTTTTAAAATTTTATTCAAAAACAGAGTGCACTGGTTTTCTTTGGTGGTTTAGCCTGTTAAAAGCAATCCTTATTATTTAAAACCCAAGTTAGTTTGTCCAGTTTCTTTAGAGAAATTGGAAGTGGGGGACTATGCATTAAGCTGGCTGTTGTTTGTGAACAGCAGATGAAATGTTTGTTAAACCCCTTAAATTAAAGATCATATCCTGACTGTTTGATAAAAAAACAAAAACAAAAACGAAACATTGTGCTGGTATACAGGGGCAAAATTATTGTTCAGTTAGTCGTGGAACTAACTGATGATGAAACAACCAACAAACCTGCCACAAAGATAAGTTTAAGAGGGCTGACAGAATGAAAGTACTTCTCTGTCCTCTAAAGAAGCTGAAGAGTGACAGACAGCACGAGTCCATGTTTTATTTTTATTTATTTTTGCCTTACCTATCTTCTTAGGCTGTTCCTGCAGCTCTGGGGCTGAGGCTAGACTTCTCCTTCCTGTGTGCCAAAGCCCCAGGAATAGCAGCGCTCTCAGTGACAGGGTTTGTAGTCTCATTGTGGGTATCTACAGCTCTGCACTAAGAAGCATCTGCAAAGGAGGGCGAAAACGTGAGATACTTAAAGTGCCTATCAGCCTTGGTCAAAGGTTGCATTCAGGGCCTCAAAAATAGAACAGCGAAGGAAATAATGGCACAGCTTTTTACACAAGTGAAAATAGCATTAACACACTCACCCGACTTAACGTTTTAAACCTAAAAGAGAAATTACTAAGGGGTATAGGGCGCTTTCGAGGACTTACAATTTCAGAAGTCAATGGTGGGGAACTACTGTTGGTCCAAAAATAGCCTTCAGGGTGTCAAGCTTCAAAGCAAGTGTAAAACCTCGTTTTAAAGCTCACTAAAACTTTTGTCAGACTGCTTAAATACAAGACTGAGCTATTCACAGAGGCCCCTGTAAAACCCACGAGAAAACTAACTAAACTAGTTTAACAGTTGAATCACGTCTGCCCACCCTGAACGTCGCTAATTATTGAGACACACTTCTGGGCACGGTTGCTTTGAATGTCACAATAAAAGCATAGGAAATTCGTAAAAGCGATTAATGAGAAATGTGTGCGCAGAAATTTCGAAACATTTTAAAGCTGCCTATTGTAGGATTTATCTTGTCTGTAATAATGACTAATAGCTAACATAATTGTTATCTATATAGTTTTCTCTGTTTTTTTAGCGTCCTTGCGCTACACTTATTTTGTTTTATTTTGAAAGATATATGAACAGGAAATGGGCTCAATGTCCTTTTTAAGGAGCTCAGCGGAAGTAGTAATTTACTTAATCACGGCAAAATAAATATAGATAAAGACGAGTTAGTTAAAAAGAATTGTTTTGTTTATTTAAACGTGTTGACACTTTTCAACCCCGTTCCCTAATTCTGAAGTAACAAAACTTATTTTTTCAAGTACGGAAGAAAATCGGAAGTGACGCAATTACTTCTCCTCTTGAACCATGCTTGAAATGGAGGTGACCTTACTTATTACCAAATTGTAAAGTAAAGAAAGTTGGGGACCCCGCGGGCAGGTGAGTCCGGTCTGGGTTTAATAAACTTGTGGTGAATATCTAAGCGGACCTTGAAGGTGTCTCCAGAGTGAGCAGAAATGGCAGAGGCTCATCAGGCACGCGTGCAGAATGTGATCGAAGACATGGTCCAAAGCCTGGAGAAGGACCACATCCGTAAAATGCAGGTAGGGTGTCTGCGGGTTCTCGGTGGTGTATGCAGGTTCGAGTCCGGGTGGTAACAGGTTGTTTGTTCTCGCTGCAGGGGCGCATGTTCAGGTGCAGCGCAGAGTGCTGCGATCGCTCCACAGACAGCATGGCTCAGGTGCATCAGTGCATCGAGACGTGTCACACTCCCCTGGCCAAAGCTCAGGGCCTGGTCACTTCAGAGCTGGAGAAGTTTCAGGTAAATCACCGTGCAAACACCTGTCATCACTTTGTCTGTGCCAGATAACTAAGATTGAAAAAGTTAGAAAGGCAAGGCTGAGATGGCTTGGACATGTGCAAAGGCGGGATAGTGGGCTTACTGGACCAAGGATGTTAAAGATGGAGCTGGCAGGCGGGGAGGGACATGGATGTAATGAGGGAGGACATCCAGAGAGTTGTGAAAGGGAGGATGCAAGGGATAAGGAGAGATGGAAGCATGTGATCCAACATGTAACCTATATTCTGACATATGGTATAAACATAAAATTAATATAAGTGAATATTTAACTTAAAGAATAGATGTAGTAAATGATATCCTAGGCAAAAATAAGTGGGCATGTCTTTTATATTTTTGCAGTTTCCCTATTTATTCTCCAAGTGTTACAAATCAAATGCCTGTTACAGGGTACTTGGTTGTTAACTGAGCATAAATAATGTATAGACTTGTGGTTAGTGGGTTTTGGAGTCTAGGCAAAAAAAACAAACTACACCTTTACATTGGTGGTAAAGAAGATGGCTTACTATTTTGATATTCCTAACTGAAACTGTGGTGCCGTTTGTCTTTTCATTTGAGTCTTTTTGATATTGGTCTTTAGGTAATAGGAAATAAAGCAAACCATGTTGGATCTCCAGTTTGGAACCCTTAATTGACCCCTTTGCTTAGACTTGAGCATCATTACAAGTAAATGTAACTGATTTTAAAATAAAGTACAGCAGTTTAAAATGTCAGTCTCTCAAGCTATACTTGCACACCCTTTCAAAGCACTAGTCAGATAAGCTGTTAAAGTCCGGTGGGTTTAGGGCTCGCCTGAATCCAATATTACTTTTTGCTCTCCTTTAAGTCTCTCAGTTGCCAACTCTTCATTTTTAGTGTGGCTGAAGTTCTTCATGACTCTGGTTGTTGTAATGTTTGGATCATGTGACCCATCACTAGTAATATTTAACTAGATAAGAATATACCTAATATTTAAAAAGTACATCTACAGCTGGTTAGATTTGCAGTAGACATCTGTAAAATAAATAAATGAATAACATTTTGAAAAATCTAAAGTCCAATCCTTCCTGGCCCACCTTCAGGACCGTCTAACTAGATGTACGATGACCTGCAACGATAAAGCAAAGGATCTCTTTGACTCCGGCGCGAAGGAGCCAGCTGTTCGATCGCTGATGGACCGCTGCGTGGGCAGTTGTGTGGATGACCACGTTAACCTGATCCCCAGCATGACCCGACGACTAAAAGAGAACTTGGACTCTATACGGCAGTGAGGGGCGGGATAAATGACTGCAGTCCATCCTGGGGAAAGCTCGGGGGCATTGAGTTTATTCATCTAAGGAGTGAAGGGCTGGAGGTGCAGAGGGAGAGTTCAAAGACTGTGATTATTAATGCTGATGTGTAGAGATTTCAACTTTGAGATGAAAGTTTCTGGCCTGTTAGATCCAACTTTACCTGCAGCGAGAAAGAAATCCAGTAATGCACAAGGAGTCTTAAGGTGTGCATTTGTTAAACACGGTTAATGTATTTAATGCATATCTGTGTGTTGCATTTCAACATGTAAAGAAAACCAACCTGTGTAATCCACGTGAAGGATTTTTTGTATTCTCGATGAAACTCCTTAAAATCACGATCCCTTATTTTTTTTTCTCGTTTCACATTTAATTGTGAATTTATATATCTGAATAAACAGAACCCAAACCTTCTTTGGATGCATTACCCCAGCAACACTGAAAAAAGTGATAGCAAATAACACTTTTGCATATGTTTTAATGACAACAGTGGAGTATACTGTTATATACACACATGGTGGTACAACAAAGGCAACACTGTCAGCTTTTCAGCCTGAGTAAATGATATAAAAGGAGCAATAAACACACTGCAGACCTGATGTAAACCACACAGATAATTTTACTACTTGAAATCTAATATGTTTAAATTGCACACGTCTAATTATGCAGCCTATCTGGTAGAATGGAAATGAACTCATTTTTGTACAAATGACCGGAAAATGCACAGCGAGTCAAACCCGAGAAGTAGTCAGCAGGTAGGAGACGACGAGTAACTGTGTGTTTGTGACCTCACAACTTACAAGACTCTTACTTTTGGTCCTTACGTCATATAAATGTACAGCTGGGAAACGAGTGTTCTCTAAACTCTTTCTTTCAGTGATGTGGTGCTGGCTCTACCTCGGTACCTCATGAGAACCCGCCCATATTTCTACAGGGCTGAGAACCGACCATTAGTTAGCAGAAGTTGGGGGTAATTTCTCCTTATGTGGCCTGCCTCTGAGAATTTCATTTTTTTCCCCATTACAATGACTGTGTTCAGCACTAGATTAGGCACGCTGACAACAGAGAGATAAAAGAGAAGCCAGATTAGATAAAAATCTCTTTGGTGAGCCAGGCTCTTATTAGCCATTAAACTTCTGAGCCTTAAATTCATTTATTACTGCAGAGACCAGAACAGACTCTGAAGATGAGCCAACAAAAACAAAAGATATGCCAACAGCACACTGACCTTTGAACCTTTTGACTAAAGAGTGAAACAAACAGCAACTGATCAGGCTTCAAGTTTCTTACGTTAATGAATTGGCCATATTAAACTGATAACATGCCTAACTATCTATCATCTGTAGTTAAAACATAACCTTGCAGCTGCAATAAAGACCTTCACTAGATGCAGAGATTATGTGATAGCACCACAGCCCGTGTCAGAGGGCAATTTTATTGGCAGTGGAGAAATTGTTTTCAAAAGTACATCGATACGAATAAAAATGAAGTACAAAATAATAAATAATGGCCAAATAAAAGCTTTCACCTCCATTAGATATCAAAACGACATGAGGTAACAACAGATTAAGAAAACCGCCAAACAAATATTTCCCAAATTTATATGATAAGTATTCAAAAACAGAACTTAAATGGTACTTAGAGTATAGATGGTAGAGTGCCAAACAAGAAGCAGCTGCACTGTAAAAGAAGAGTGAGCAGGTGACTGTCTTAATACCAGCAAACACACAGTGGGGAGTGTAGCTGATAAATACTGTAGAAAGGAAATCTGGAATTTGTTTTTATTTTGTGAGCCAAAAAAATAAGATTATGCTGAGAGCACCAGATAGCACAAGTATTTACTGCAACCTCAGCTTTAACTGGGGAGGATTACTGAGTCTTAAACTTGTGATGCTGGTGGACATCGTGGATTATGAATTTTATACAAGGTGGTGGAAATGACCAACTCGGAGTGACCCTTGGAAGCTACAGGCTGATAAAATCCTGCTCTTTTTGTGCCTCTGCATTTGTCGCTTCATCTTTTTGTCTACTGTTATGACCAGCAGCCGTACATTGCACTGAGCAGCTGTGTGGCTTCTTATGCAGCAGCAACGCAAAGGTGAGTTTACTCTTGTCCTTACTTAATGCACAATTTCTCCTTCTAAGAACAGATGTGTGTTTCCTCTTAGGAAATTGTAAGAAGCTCTGAAATGTGATGGAACTACTCAGTTTCACTGTGTTTGTTTGTGCTCCCGATGACGATGTCCTGTACACAGTGAAAAAACAAAGTGTAAAGTCAAGCCCTACAAAGTCTGCTTAATGACCAAACACCTGGAGGTTTCCCATCTTTAAGAATGGTCCAGCATCCCAGTGCAGATGGTTAACAGCAGAGGTACAAGGTGGAGAGAAGCTTCTCTGAGAGCAAAAGGTGGTCCGATCCCTCTTGACCACTAGCATAGGGCTTCATTATACTGTAAACCCCATGTAGACATATATACAAAACGTTTTTTCCCCAAGAACATCTCGCTGAGTTTAGAGAGCATGCAGACGGTATGTCCAGTGTCAAAATGTGTTAAATGAGGCCATAGATTGTACATACAAGCTTGTGTCAAGTGTCTCTCCGGTAACAGAAGAATGGCAGCAGCTAATGGCTGGTGAGCAGGTATCAAGACACACTGTGAGCAGACCTGTCTTTGTCTGAGGAGTCTGGACGGTGATCTGACTGAGGTGATGTATACAGGAAGTTACAGCACACGTAGAGGGGGAATGATAACAACCGGCTGTCCAGATTCATCACCACATACTCCTGTAGGATTGAAGGAATTGAAGCATGTTACCAAGTTTACAATTTCCTTTTAGAAATGGTGACTAGTGAGTATTCACTGACCTGGTCTTTCTCTAAAGTGAGCAGCTGGTAACCTGTTGAGCGACTGCAGACCAGCTTTCCACGACTGTCAAAGGAGGCAAGACGTAACCTGGAGACAAAGATGTTTGAAGATAGGTAAAGCTTTCAAACATTTCAACAGCTTGTCACCAGGTTAGTTCAATTTGTTGCAAAGAGGTGACATGAAGTTTAACAGCATTCACATGCCTCTAATTTAAACACGAGGGCACCACTAGCACACAGCTAAGCCTAAACATTGATGGAAACAAAGGTAACCTGTAGCTGTCACAGGGTCAATACATTATCAGCTGAACACAATAAACTATACATCAGTTTCTATTGTAAATTTGTATACATACACAATTTAGGTATAATATGTTAAATTATATATAACAAAAACATGCATAGAAGTAGACATGAGACATTCATGTCAAAGAGTAGAGTATACACCCTCTAATAAAAATGATCCAGTCATTACCAAGTTTAAAGTAGGTTAACACAACACAACAAATGCAGACAAAGTCACGTGAAAAGTAAAGTAGTTGGTAGAAGCAACTTTAGCAGCAATAACCAAGTAATCCTTTTCTGTGTGACTTTATTAGTGTCTCACATGGTTGTGGAGAAATTTTGACCCACTCGTCGTTGTAACTTTGCTTCAGTTCATTGAGGTGTGCAGACATTTATTTCTACACAGCTTTCATTTCTTCAGGTTGAGGTCTGGACTTTGTCTGGACTATTGCGACACATCGATTCTGCTCCGTTGTAAATTTGCTGCTGTGCTCCGGATCGTCCTATGACTGAGATCATGATTAAAGCTACTTTTGAACTATATCCTAAAATCAGCTGGGCTCTTCCTTATTTTTGTTCAACTTTTAAGTCCAGCATTTGAAATGTTGGTGTAATATTTGATTATTTTCTGGGCTTCGACCTGTAAGTAAAATCTTTGTCCCCGTTTCATTAATTTAAGGAACAATTTGATAAATTGCGACATACAGTCCCCTCAGCTAAGCTGGAAATGATCATTCATGCACTTGTGTCATCGTGTTTATTCATATTGTGATTACTGCAATGCCCCGTTTACCGGCATGGACAAATCATCTCTTTGTCCGTCTATAAACTTTAAAAAAATGCTGAGGTCCAGACTATTAACAAATTCTAGAACGCAAACTCATGACACTCCCTTTAAAAACACACATACACTCATTCTTTTTATTTATTACGTTAAGTTACTGTGTTGTCTCGTTTGTATTGTGTTGTGCTTGGTGCCGACGTGGAACAGTTTCGTTGTACTATTGTACCAGGTATGACTGTACAATGACAATAAAGAGTTATCTCTTGTCTCTCTTTACATCAGCTCTCAACAGATTTTAGGTTTACTTTCCTTTTTTACATTACTGTATAAAATTAAACAGTCAAAAGGGTAAATGCCAGCCTATTGCCAAATATGATAACACCTACCAATTACAGTGATCAGTGTTGATCAGTCACATGTTCACAGTCAGTGCTGGCCCACAACTTCATCACTGTATCCTAATAAAATAACTATAGCCAACTGAGAAGTATAGCAACTAATCATTTTAAATGCTGAACTTCACTCTGTATATAAATCAACTTTAGCAAATGCTTCATGAGCAAATATTTCTTAGCTCAAGAATGTGTTTGCACATTTATCTTAATATAATGATTTTAGTTTCTCTATTTACATTTTTTTCTATTCAATGAAATTTTATTTATATAGCACCAAATCACAACAACTGTCACCTTGAGGCATTTTTTAAGGTAAAGATCCTACAATTAAAGCGGGATTATACAGTCTGGTTGCCTGCACCACTGACCTGTATGCCAAGTGTCTTCGTGCTTGTAGACTGACAGCGCCCCCACATGGCTGACTCAGAGTATTCCTCTTGAAGACGATGAAGCGATTTGTGTAGGTCACCAGCAGGTCGAAACCAAAGTTAAAGCCCGTCCACCTCCAGCAGTACTGAGAAAAGGGGAAAATCACAGTGTTTTCCCTTTGGAGAAATGAATCCATAAACAATAATTGTATGGAAACAAACTCACATCTCCATCTTTAATGAGCTTCCTGCCACACCTCATGCTGCTCTGCTCAAACTCGTCTTTGTTGGGCTCCTGAGGACTAATAAACAGAAGTGTTTGTCATCACAACAGCATTAAAAGCAATGCATGTGAT